CAGTCTCAGAGACTCATTTTGGTCCCGCTGGCGAAAGGAAGTTTTTCACCAGCTTTAAATACGTAATAAATGGCTCAATATACATAATAATTGCTAGTCACAATCCAGACTACTGATTCGATCTTTACTCGTCCCATCGTCAAGTTGAAAGTTGATAAAGCTACCTACTGATAGTGAGATTGACCAATGCTTCTCAACGAATCAGGAGAGTGCTGACTCAATAAGGCGGGCGAATGAGAAAAATGTCAAGATATAATTAACAAATTGTATACATTCATATTTTTTATAACCTTACAAGCAAGTTTATAATAATCGTTTAATAAGCTTTCGTGCCTAGATTAGTTGAAACATAAAAAAAGGAATTTCCTGTTTTTTGTTTTTCTTATTATTCTTTTTCAATTTTTTGATGCATCGTGACTTTTGCAAAAATGATCCATAGCTTAATTTTGTTTTGATTTGAGATATTAATTGTATTAGATTTAACTCAATTTTACCTTTTTTCTAGTATTGTTATACCACTTTATCTCCGAAAGTGGTTTAGGATACAGATCTCTCCGACCAATAGGCTTTCCTGTCTTGCGTTTAGCATTTCGAGTTTAGTTTTATACCCACGCCTTTCCTCTGTTTTTTGACGCTTTTATGACTTACATTTGACACTTACACCGGTAAATCGTTGAAAATATCAATAGGTGTATACCCTAGTATTGACTCATAAAAAGTCATTGTTGTAGTGTAAGTATCTCCCCGCTCCAATTTTCGCCGGTTTAGGGAGACACAGAGTAGATTGTAAGAGCTGCGAAGCGCTCTCGAATCTCGTCGATCGAGCGAACAGGACGCTCCCGCGTAGCCGTCGCTGCTTGCCCTGCTTTGCTGCAACTTTTTTGTCGGGCCATGCCAGCACATTTTAGTTCAAATAAAAGTTTGGGGCCGTCTCGCCAGTGCCATTACAATGGCCTACACTCAACTCGCATTCAACCAACACCTTCCGTTCTGGCAACTCGTAAGTCATAATTTTCACCTGCACTTCAAATCAAGCTTAGAAGCATCTTGTTAGCTTAGCATTTTTCGTATTTTAAAACACAATTTACTTAAAGACAACGTATTCCTTTTGCTCGTCAACTTTGTAAGTAAAGCTTTCATTCATTAAGCATTTATACTTTTTCTTCATACATTTATGTTACGTCTCTGTATTATTAAAGTTAAGAATGAAGGTTGTTTATAGCACTTTTCAAATAGTTTGTATTTTGTTGTTTTTATTTCGGCACTCATAATAATCTTGGTTGGAAAAATTTCGAAGCCAGCCTCTTGTTTATAACAACGCACATATGTATCTTAGTCGAACAAAGAATAATTTGCTTCGTATTGCTTTCGATGTGTACATTCGCTACTTGTAATAGTTAAAATCTATCCAAGTGAACGTTCATCACTTATAGATACCAACTAAGAAACTTCAGAATTAGAAAATTGATCTATAATAGGGCGTTTTTTACATTACAAATAACTGAGCCTGCCGATTTCAAAAGAAATAGTAATAATTATTTTTGAGCGGTCTAAAAACATCAAAACTATGTAAAATTATGTTTTAAAGTTAGTTTTGCTTACATCTTTAAACGGTTTGATATACAGAAAAAATAAAAATACCAGCGAGTAGGGCGAAAAATTTTCTATCAATAAGCACTTTTAATATTGTTTCGGCTACCGCAAAATGTTGAGAAACAATGAAAAAGGCGTTTCGGCAGTACCTGTAAAAGTAAGTGAAATAGAGAGACCTATTGATCGTCTGCAGTCGCGCTTGCTCTCTCTCTCTCTCTCTCTCTCTCTCTCTATCTCTCTTTATTGTACTCATACAATTAGGCCTTTTTCACGGCTTTTTTTAACATTTTGCACATGTAGAAAATGATGAATTAATATAAAAGTTAGTATCATTTTTTCATCATTTAAAAAAATTTCTTCTCTGTGAACAGGATTATTTTAAAATATCAATATTTGACCATAATGCCAAGTTTTCCCGGGGTCTTACAATTTTGTTTATTCAAACTCCATTTTAACCCGTCTTTAATAAAAAGCTAACAAAATTCGCGCATGTACGCAACTACGCACAATCAATAGGTATCCAAAAAGAGAAAGAAAGACAGAGAAAGCAATGCATACGATCGTTTGTTAAACTAATGTATGTACTTATGTGTAGATAGGTAGTATAGATATACTCTTTTCCATGAATTATTGTTCTTTCTTGTTCTCGTTGTTTATATGTTAATGAACAAAATAAAAATATAAACATAATTTGCTTTTTTTAATCTATAAATATTCACTGATAAAAATACACATTTTTCAGTGTTTTTAAAATGAAAATATGAAATGAAGATTATTTAGAGTAAAAAAAATAAATACTTTTTCCTATCTCGCGCGTTTTGGAGAAGCTGGTGTGCGCTTGGTAGAAAAAGCAGTATTTGCCACATACACGACATTGCTTCATGGCTATCTTACGTCCCTCGGGCCCTGTTTCACAGATTCATCGGGGCGCAAAATAAACATGAAGACAACGGCACTTATCTGACAAAAATTACTATTTTTATCATAGACAATCAAATACTACCGAGTTCAATAACATATTCTTTAATGTTTCACATATGTCATGAGTCTCGAGCCCACACCTGGTTTTTTTTACGGGATTCAAACCATTAACCACTAAGCCATCAAAGCTCTGACGTGATAGTTTGTATTTTTGAGGAATTATACCGTAATCGCTTCTACCACCTACCAAATTACGGTTACCATTGGAGAAGGATTGAGTTCGACGGCTCTTGATTACTGGATTTCAAAGATACCACTAAGACAATAAAATTTATTTTTTAAGATACCAATCTTACTAAAAACTCCTGTATCTAGGGCAGAGACAGCGTTTTGTTTCAATTAATTTCATATTTCGTTTGACAATGATTAAAATTTTTTAATAAGAATTATTTTCATTGTCTGCACAATTACTCTCCTTATCTTAGGCTTAAGATAAAATTTGCATGCAGAAAATGTCAAATACATTTCTAACAAGCAGCGGATTCGATTTGTACGTGAGAAATAACGATTTACTTTCACTTCTCGAGATCAAGGAAAACGTCATATTCCCACCTTCTTTATGGAAAAAACAATTATACTTTACGTAAAGGATGAATAGAATACCCATGTATACGTATTTTTACGCTCTTGGTGAAGTAAGGGTTTCATTCTAACCACCCCCCCCCTCGAAACAAAATTTACTTTTTCCTACCTAGGAGGCTAAAATAGTCATTTTCGTTTTACGTAACAAAAAAAGTAATAATTTTTTCACGCAGTGGTACAAATTATAGTAAATGTACTACGGAAGTTAGTAAAGAATATTCTAAGTCTTATGTCTATTCTTTTCCGAAGCAAAACTCAGGGTAATGAATATAAGATGTGAGATATTCTTTACTTTTTATGTATAAGTTGTGGCATGGCAAATCGAAAGTATACACGAGCACGTCACAGAACCCTTGACATCAACGATAAATGGCAAGAGTCTCGTAGCTAGCTCTCTCTCTCTTCTGCGCATGGCTTGCTATAGTGTGCGGAATCCTTGTGTAAAGCCGGGAAGCCACAGCGTTAAGAGTAGCTATAGAGCTCGACCTGACTCTTCTCCCGTATGTCCTACCGGTATGCCGGAGGTGTGTGTGTGTATGTGCGATGTTGAGTGAGTGGATCTGGAAACGACAGCTGTCGGTGTCGGTGTCCTGGAAGCGATTCTAGTATTGGTAACCACTGTGTAGGGCTAGGTTAGTTGATAGTGTGTGGTGGGACGCATAGCATACGGTGTGCCTGCGGTCGGGACAAGAGAGACACTTGATCTCGTTGCGAGGTTAGCACCGGAGCAGCGCGGAGCGGCCCCAGCAGACTCTCGCCTGCCGAGTTACTGCTACGTAGTGAAGCTAAGACCTAGTGCCACACACACACAAAGCCAGCCCTTACATGGTCACCCAGGTTCCTCGGTGCCCTCGACGCTGGTAACACTGCTGGAGGCATCAATAAACACTTCGCCGAAGCCAATCCTGGTATGTGAAAACATATAGTGTTGGTGCTATGAGTATAAGTGCGTGAAAGTGGTCGTCTCGATTATCCTACCCTAGCAATTTTAGAGTCAGTCCGAGTTCCCTATTGTAATTATAACACAAAAGTAAAACGCCAAGTGTAGTGTATCAATACAGCAAGCCACAACGCATGAACCTCGCCTTTGTGGTGTGCAACGTCGAAGTTGTAATCAAAGTAGCTGTTATTGATATAGATATATAAACTTTTATTATTCATACATAGTCTTAGGTTTTAATTCGTTTTGTGTAGCGCTGAGTGCAGCTGCAACAGGATAGTGCCTCAAAGTGTGTAAGTATTGCAGAATACTCCCTGATACATAAAAAAGGACTATTCAGATCTGTTAGCTATACGATACTACCTATTGCTGTATCCATCCAGTGCTGCACCTTGCATGTAAAAATCTGATCTTCTCCCGAATAACATCACGATAAAAAGTCTCTTAGTAAATAAAAGAAATAACCCATACGCGTTAGTCGCAATCCACGGCTAACGCGTTACAAGCGTTACAAGGTGTTTCACCCACTACTTTTTTTTGCCGATCAAAGTAAACAAAACCTTTGTTTAACATTATTTAGAAATCTAGCATGCACCTTCGTGCAACATTTTTTAGATGAGTAATATTGACACATATTTTCCATACTTAAAAATAGATGACTGATTCTTACAAAATATTTTGTTTGCCGTTCTTGCTTCTTTAGTATATTTATTAAATGCTATAAATAAATAAATTCTGGCATTTCCAAAGTTGTCATGGATCGTCCATCATTTTATTAAAAATAATACCAATCTACACACAACAAATTTAATAGTATTAATTCAAACAAATATTAATTATCCGTTCACTATAATTAACTTTTGTACGGACCAGTAATATAAAATTTTGATAATTTTTTTAACAGGTAGCAAAAGAGCGCTGTCAGCCGGCCAGTATTCGACTAATGGACAATGAACAATTTAAATTTGGTCAAGCTCTAAGAGCAGAGTCATCTTGGGGAAATCTTGTACTGCAAGGCCTGAAACATTCATTTATTACTCGTATTAAAGGTTTCAACTTAGACAGCTTATGCGTGGCCACACTTTTATTTGAAGGCTATTCAAGTAAAGACATTAGTGAGCACGAAAAAAAAATTTACAATATCGTAAGACATTATGATGGTATTCCTTCAGGAGAAACAAATGGTGAACGTGGTTATACTCTTACATTTGTTATAGCTTACATACGTGATCTAGGTCTTGATTACAATGTGTTAGCAGAAAGTTTTGAAACGTCAGTTTCATGGAATCGAGCTTCTTCACTATGTCGTCATGTCAAGACACGGGTTATAAATGAATGCTTTAATAGAGGAATCAATTATTTTTTAATTTCATGTCGCTTAACGCAGACGTATGACTCAGGCTGTTGTATCTATTTCTACATGGGTTTTAACTATGAGGCACTAAGTGATCCTATAAAAACTTATGAAGAAATTGAGGAATCAGCCAGGGAAGAGATACTCGCCTGTGGAGGTAGTCTCTCGCATCATCATGGAATAGGAAAAATGAGAGCACGATTTTACTCGGAAGTAGTAGGAGAAGCAAGCATATCTTTGTACAAAGCCACAAAAAATCATTTAGATCCTAAGAACATTTTTGCTACTGGTAACCTTGACCCTTTGTACAAATCTAAGCTTTAGTAATATTTAACTTTCTGTAACTTTATCCACATAAATTGTATAAAAACAATTAATCTATAAATATTCACTGATAAAAATACACATTTTTCAGTGTTTTTAAAATGAAAATATGAAATGAAGATTATTTAGAGTAAAAAAAATAAATACTTTTTCCTATCTCGCGCGTTTTGGAGAAGCTGGTGTGCGCTTGGTAGAAAAAGCAGTATTTGCCACATACACGACATTGCTTCATGGCTATCTTACGTCCCTCGGGCCCTGTTTCACAGATTCATCGGGGCGCAAAATAAACATGAAGACAACGGCACTTATCTGACAAAAATTACTATTTTTATCATAGACAATCAAATACTACCGAGTTCAATAACATATTCTTTAATGTTTCACATATGTCATGAGTCTCGAGCCCACACCTGGTTTTTTTTACGGGATTCAAACCATTAACCACTAAGCCATCAAAGCTCTGACGTGATAGTTTGTATTTTTGAGGAATTATACCGTAATCGCTTCTACCACCTACCAAATTACGGTTACCATTGGAGAAGGATTGAGTTCGACGGCTCTTGATTACTGGATTTCAAAGATACCACTAAGACAATAAAATTTATTTTTTAAGATACCAATCTTACTAAAAACTCCTGTATCTAGGGCAGAGACAGCGTTTTGTTTCAATTAATTTCATATTTCGTTTGACAATGATTAAAATTTTTTAATAAGAATTATTTTCATTGTCTGCACAATTACTCTCCTTATCTTAGGCTTAAGATAAAATTTGCATGCAGAAAATGTCAAATACATTTCTAACAAGCAGCGGATTCGATTTGTACGTGAGAAATAACGATTTACTTTCACTTCTCGAGATCAAGGAAAACGTCATATTCCCACCTTCTTTATGGAAAAAACAATTATACTTTACGTAAAGGATGAATAGAATACCCATGTATACGTATTTTTACGCTCTTGGTGAAGTAAGGGTTTCATTCTAACCACCCCCCCCCTCGAAACAAAATTTACTTTTTCCTACCTAGGAGGCTAAAATAGTCATTTTCGTTTTACGTAACAAAAAAAGTAATAATTTTTTCACGCAGTGGTACAAATTATAGTAAATGTACTACGGAAGTTAGTAAAGAATATTCTAAGTCTTATGTCTATTCTTTTCCGAAGCAAAACTCAGGGTAATGAATATAAGATGTGAGATATTCTTTACTTTTTATGTATAAGTTGTGGCATGGCAAATCGAAAGTATACACGAGCACGTCACAGAACCCTTGACATCAACGATAAATGGCAAGAGTCTCGTAGCTAGCTCTCTCTCTCTTCTGCGCATGGCTTGCTATAGTGTGCGGAATCCTTGTGTAAAGCCGGGAAGCCACAGCGTTAAGAGTAGCTATAGAGCTCGACCTGACTCTTCTCCCGTATGTCCTACCGGTATGCCGGAGGTGTGTGTGTGTATGTGCGATGTTGAGTGAGTGGATCTGGAAACGACAGCTGTCGGTGTCGGTGTCCTGGAAGCGATTCTAGTATTGGTAACCACTGTGTAGGGCTAGGTTAGTTGATAGTGTGTGGTGGGACGCATAGCATACGGTGTGCCTGCGGTCGGGACAAGAGAGACACTTGATCTCGTTGCGAGGTTAGCACCGGAGCAGCGCGGAGCGGCCCCAGCAGACTCTCGCCTGCCGAGTTACTGCTACGTAGTGAAGCTAAGACCTAGTGCCACACACACACAAAGCCAGCCCTTACATGGTCACCCAGGTTCCTCGGTGCCCTCGACGCTGGTAACACTGCTGGAGGCATCAATAAACACTTCGCCGAAGCCAATCCTGGTATGTGAAAACATATAGTGTTGGTGCTATGAGTATAAGTGCGTGAAAGTGGTCGTCTCGATTATCCTACCCTAGCAATTTTAGAGTCAGTCCGAGTTCCCTATTGTAATTATAACACAAAAGTAAAACGCCAAGTGTAGTGTATCAATACAGCAAGCCACAACGCATGAACCTCGCCTTTGTGGTGTGCAACGTCGAAGTTGTAATCAAAGTAGCTGTTATTGATATAGATATATAAACTTTTATTATTCATACATAGTCTTAGGTTTTAATTCGTTTTGTGTAGCGCTGAGTGCAGCTGCAACAGGATAGTGCCTCAAAGTGTGTAAGTATTGCAGAATACTCCCTGATACATAAAAAAGGACTATTCAGATCTGTTAGCTATACGATACTACCTATTGCTGTATCCATCCAGTGCTGCACCTTGCATGTAAAAATCTGATCTTCTCCCGAATAACATCACGATAAAAAGTCTCTTAGTAAATAAAAGAAATAACCCATACGCGTTAGTCGCAATCCACGGCTAACGCGTTACAAGCGTTACAAGGTGTTTCACCCACTACTTTTTTTTGCCGATCAAAGTAAACAAAACCTTTGTTTAACATTATTTAGAAATCTAGCATGCACCTTCGTGCAACATTTTTTAGATGAGTAATATTGACACATATTTTCCATACTTAAAAATAGATGACTGATTCTTACAAAATATTTTGTTTGCCGTTCTTGCTTCTTTAGTATATTTATTAAATGCTATAAATAAATAAATTCTGGCATTTCCAAAGTTGTCATGGATCGTCCATCATTTTATTAAAAATAATACCAATCTACACACAACAAATTTAATAGTATTAATTCAAACAAATATTAATTATCCGTTCACTATAATTAACTTTTGTACGGACCAGTAATATAAAATTTTGATAATTTTTTTAACAGGTAGCAAAAGAGCGCTGTCAGCCGGCCAGTATTCGACTAATGGACAATGAACAATTTAAATTTGGTCAAGCTCTAAGAGCAGAGTCATCTTGGGGAAATCTTGTACTGCAAGGCCTGAAACATTCATTTATTACTCGTATTAAAGGTTTCAACTTAGACAGCTTATGCGTGGCCACACTTTTATTTGAAGGCTATTCAAGTAAAGACATTAGTGAGCACGAAAAAAAAATTTACAATATCGTAAGACATTATGATGGTATTCCTTCAGGAGAAACAAATGGTGAACGTGGTTATACTCTTACATTTGTTATAGCTTACATACGTGATCTAGGTCTTGATTACAATGTGTTAGCAGAAAGTTTTGAAACGTCAGTTTCATGGAATCGAGCTTCTTCACTATGTCGTCATGTCAAGACACGGGTTATAAATGAATGCTTTAATAGAGGAATCAATTATTTTTTAATTTCATGTCGCTTAACGCAGACGTATGACTCAGGCTGTTGTATCTATTTCTACATGGGTTTTAACTATGAGGCACTAAGTGATCCTATAAAAACTTATGAAGAAATTGAGGAATCAGCCAGGGAAGAGATACTCGCCTGTGGAGGTAGTCTCTCGCATCATCATGGAATAGGAAAAATGAGAGCACGATTTTACTCGGAAGTAGTAGGAGAAGCAAGCATATCTTTGTACAAAGCCACAAAAAATCATTTAGATCCTAAGAACATTTTTGCTACTGGTAACCTTGACCCTTTGTACAAATCTAAGCTTTAGTAATATTTAACTTTCTGTAACTTTATCCACATAAATTGTATAAAAACAATAATAAATAATAGTTCGTCTATTATATTATAGTAAACACGATGAAGAATAGTATTTATTAAGGATGTTAACAAGTGATTGACAAATAATTTACAAACATCGACTGATCAAACATTTAAATAAATATACTTGTATATAATTACGACCCTCACAATATCTAAATTTTAAAAGTTTTTATTATTCTAACNATATATATATATATATAAATGAATGAATAAACACAGCAGCACCAAAAAAAACATCAGTGAAAAGATAAATTTATTGTCATAATAATATTTTCCACACGATGGTAAATTCTGCCTCTAAACACTAAAGTTTAAAGTAAGGAAAACTAGTTCATTATATGTTTAACATAAAACATGTAACTTTCTAGGATTTTTTCAGTGATTTCTAATAATAGTTGAGATTTTTACAACATATTATTAGTGAGTGTGATTAGAAAATATACGTTTTCGTAAAAATAGGTGAACACAAAAGCGCTTTACATCGTTGCTGATCCAAAATCACTTTTAAATTATTTTATTTTTTTACGTTCATGTCTAAAGATTTTTTAGTTTTTCTTTCCTCCGTACATTATTCATATGATTTTTACGGGTACCTTTTGCAACCTTAATATAAATAGTTTTAATCCTATAAGCCAATTTATTAAAAAAATTACTATTATGTATATGGTACAAGCGGTTTTCACTCTTGATGTCTTTGAGCCAGATGGACATCAGTGAGTTTTTTGTAAGTATATTATTGAAGTTCTTAGGATACCTCGAACAATTTAAATATTTAAGGAAACTTTATTTTTTGTATGGTCTCAGACCTGTTATAAATGATATGTGTATTCAACTGATTAATAATGTAAAAAAATAAACAAAACTGTTGTGGAAAAAAAGTAGAACTGAAATAGTAGTTATCGTAGTAGGAGCGCAAAGTAAAGCCCTTCAGGCGATATTTTTATGCGTTTATGCCTAAGTTGTGAACAACGTTTTTCTTCCCTATGGGCGCAAAGTCATGGGCATACTTTGCGTCCTTGGGGAGGAAACGTGATTGAAAGTCGCAAAGTCTTGCGAATGTTGTACAGAAACTACTTTTTTCCGAATCTGGGCTAGGGTGTTATGTAACATATTTTGAAAAATAAAAGTAATTGATGCCTAATAGTCTCATAGAATGTTGCATACTTAAAGAAGAAAAGCAAATAATGCTTTATATTACATGTGTATTGACATCCAAGGCATGAGCATTTTTCATTACCTCCAGTGATGCGCACATGATGTTCCGTGCTATTATGCGCTACTGGGAAATTCAGATATTCTTGGTCCATGTAACGCAATAAAAGTTACTAGTCTTGCACTGTAGGTGCAAAAAGTAAATTTACATTAAATATTATTAAATCAAGAAGGTAAATGAATCACCCTTAAAAAAAAAAGCTATGCATACCTATACATATTGTGTTCTTAAAAATCTACACGGGTTGTAGCGATGTACTAGGAATTGGACTAGATGACAAAGATTTTGGGGTATAATTTTTGAGTGGAACCCAGGTTTTGAACGATTTCTACGTTTACATTGAAGCTGAACAAGATTATAAGTGAAAATTCGTTCACTTTTCGTCAAGATAACCTAAAGTTTGTAGGAAAGGCATTTGGTACGTATCCTGTAAGCTCAGAGGACAGTTTTTGTGCAAGCATGAACAAATTTAATCGATTAGTTCGTTTTCTACTCCACCGTTATTAAAGATGCACCGCCACCGTAGTTGTCAGGCATATAGCTTAATCCGTGCGTTTAGCCGTGAATTTTTCATTATTTTTTAATTATATGTCTAGCAGTTGACATAACGATTACATTATTTCACTAAAAATCAAAATAATGTAGCTAAAGGAATCATTATGAAATCGATTGAAATGAGAATTTTTCGAATATTCCAACGGGATGTGGAACTTGGATTGTTTTTTTTAAATTTCAGAGTTAGTTTAGTCGATGCTATTCTTCTAAAAATGTGACACTAAAAAATTTCACTTTCTTATACTAAGTTGTCTCTACCTACTACACTGGAAAAAATTACTACGGTACGAATGCCTTCCACTACATCGGGTGGTTTACTTATTTAAGGAAGCTGGCTCACCCTATCGTTAGTTACAATGACGGTTAACAGCTTGAGCCAAACGCATTCGAAAATCTAGATAAGTCGCTTACCTAACTTGAGGTATTGCATACTTCCCATGCAGATAGAGCAAGTGAGCAGTTAGTTTCTTGTATGTACTCGATAAACACTTTCTACCATAGTGATATTTCCAATTTGCATGCACATTGAAATAATAGAAAGGAATGATGGAAGAATCTTTTTTGAGTATTACCGAAGAAGTAAGTATGAGCCCTGAAATTGATAAGTACATACTGTACCACATTGTTAATTGTGTAAATTGTTTATAAAAAGGTAAAATAATTGAGCTTCTTGGCGAGGTTAATAGTAGTCATAAGAGTAGGATTTATGCTTTATGTATGGTTTTATTTTTTATACGTTAAGCTATAAATTAAGTAACATCTATGCGCAGTGAAGGTTATACGTGTCCTAGTTTACAATATGTATGCCAGATCGCATGCAATCTTATCATTCTTTCTGTTTTTCGTGATCCGTACTTGAATCTTCAAGTTTTACCGTGAGAAAAAAATATTTGTGTTCGCTGCGCAAACAGGAATATTAACTTTCTGGCCACATGCATAATAATTTTGTACCATATCGTATCCCTTCAATTGCTTTCATTTCTATAGTTATGCCCCTACAGGTCCTAGAGTTAATGTGTTGAAATGTGGTACTGTGCATGATATAATAAAAAATAATGTAACTATGAAGGCCGATATCGAATTGGGGCTTGAAAATTATTTTTTTTTGATGATTAAAAAGTCTTGTATTTATTTATTTTTCATAATTCTTCAAATTTTGATTTAAAAAAAATAGTTTTTAATATTTTCTCAAATCTCTATTTGACGGTGAGATTTTGTTAGACATGTTCAGAAAAACTAGTGAATAACATAACACGCAGTTTATAGGTATGGTTATTGTGAAAGAATTACGAAAACACAAACCTACTCATACGTAAGCTCACTGGATATTTATAATAACAATTGTTTAATGTAGTAGCTCATTTTACGTATTAAAAAAAAAGATCATCTTTTAACTTACAATCTTTACATATACATTTTTTTATTTAAATAAAACTAATTTTATTGCTACATCAACGATCATATTAATGTGTTTGTTTCCGAATATATGAACCAAAATTTATTGCCATAAAGCAAGAAATACTTGACTTGTTTTCGGATCAAGGCGTCAACTATTTATATTCTCTCTACCGTCGTAACGAAGTTGTACAATTGTGTACTCCCGATCTACTTTACTCTGTTAATAAGTTTTGGAGAGGCCAATTAACGAAACGTGAAAAATGAAGTGATAACTCACCCATTCCAAAAAACATAGAGCTTAGCAACGAAGCTTGTACTTATAGAACTTAAAATTGTGAACGACTTAATATTCTGTTTACGATTTTTTAAATTGTTTATGCTAATAAAAATAATATTTATTCAGTGATGTCCCTGCTTGTAGATTATACATGTTTGAAAAATAAGAAACAATAAAAATACACAACGTCAGAACTTCTTAAGCAGTGGCAGGACTTATACAAAGAGAGGACAATAATCTTATTCGATAAAAAAGTTGTTATCTTACTCATCAGTATTTACAGAGATTTCTTTTTACTAAACAATTTCCAGGCATGACTTTGGTAGATATTTTCTAAAATTTTATGCGGATAACATGATTAAATCTGAGTTTCGAAAACATAGTTCAATTTCATAAGTATGTTTTAGTTAATTAAATAACGTTAATTTTTAATAACGAGAAATACATATTTCTTAAATTCTAGATAATAAGAATAATAAATAATTGTGTTAAAAGTATGATAATATATTGAGAAATACACTTATTGTCTTTTATATATTGTGACCTTAACGACTACAGAGCAACTGCTTACGACAAAAGCTAGAGCTTGACTTATTGTACTTACGGGGTGCTGGGCATACCATTCGTGGTTATTATTTACATGTGCAAGTGCGCTTAGACGAGACTGTACTAATTTACTTGCATTACAACAAAATTTACACAAAGTTACCTCAAGCAACAGTAGCTTGCAATGATTGCTTGATGGCCTTACATTCATGGCCTATATTGTGTAATTACGTGTTGCTTTATAAACGAAACAGCTACATTATTTGTCAGGTTTCAAATCGTACTCACAAGTATCTAAACTTGTTAATAAATGCAGAAGGAAACATTAGATTTGTATTGAGAACATTAAACAGATTGAGAAGTGTTGTTTGTTATAAATTTGTATAACCATCGTATTGGATGCACGTTATTTTCATATGACGAAAAATTAATTAGAAAATATAAATAATGAATAAAAAACTTGTTCTAAATTTCANATTTGGACAAAAAGAATCTTTCAGAAAGATGATTAAATAAAAAAGAAAATCAAGGAAAAGTAAGTATGGGACAGCTGAATCGTTTCAAAAAGCAAAGGGCGACCCAATTACAAAATATAAGGGATTTTATTTCATGGTAACCACCTATACAAATACAATCTTTCAGAAAGATGATTAAATAAATAAGAAAATCAAGAAAAAAAAATTAAAAAAAATGAAAATCAATGTATTAAAAAAATATGAGATTTACACTTTTTTTATATGACAAAGCAGCTTATCTTAAGAAGCTCATACAAGAAGTACTAGATTTTTTTGTCTTATCTATTATCTTTAAAAAACAAAGTTTTATTCATTCTAAAAAAAAATAATGTATATATTGTATAAGATAAGTAATTACTTGTAATATCGAACAGATGATTATTTCGACGTGTGCGTGGAAGACTATTACAGCGTGACGTCATCCCATTTAAAATAACATGGAG